CACACACACACACACACACACACACACACACACACACACACACACACACACACACCTAGGGGCTCCTGAATATAAGCTTTTCCTGATAAAGTTCCATAAGACTGACCCCCTCACTAAGACAACGATTCTACAGATGTTACTGCATGCATTACAAACTATTTAAATCCATTCATACCGATGCTTGTAAACCTAAGTATGTACTGAGTATGCAGCATTTAATACCCCATAAAATACAATCGATTAGAGAAAGTCAAATCTAGCAAAAGATTACTCTTCTCCAGAAAGCTATTGGGATATGTTTTCAGTGATAAATCAGATATGGCAATGTCAACAATCAGTGTCCTTAAATGCTGGCATTTAGCATCTCTACAATCAATAACTGACCTTCCAGCACCCAATATGAAATGAAACATATCCTTTATCAATTTTCCATCTTTTCTCAGTCATTCAACCAAAATAAAGCATTCATATAGTTTTGAGTTGTGATTTTTTTTTCCCTGACCATCAATGAGAACTCCAATGTCAGCAGTGAAAACATTTGGGCATTTTTTTTTTTTGCATGGAATAAGAACAATTGATGGATCTAAGGTCCCATTCAACCTAGCATCTGCCTAAGACAATCACCCAGGAGATGCCTTTGAAATCTCAGAAGACCTTTTGCTTTCTCAATTTGTTGGTCTTTAAGTAATCCCGCCAGAGATATCAAGCCAGTTAATCTAGTTCTCCTGTAAAACTATTTCAAGTGATAGTCATTACCAGTCCAGATGGGAACAACTTTCACAGTTTAACCTATACAGTGTTCATAGAATACTTGATTTCCGATTTGGACCTTCCTAAATTTCATTTCAGTGAATAAATCTGCAAAGGGGAAAAAAACACCCTTTCTCTTCACATTTTCCACATCAAGTGTAACATCAAACACTTCTATCAAATCCCCCTTAGGTTTTGCATTCTAAGAGAACAACACACAAAAGCTGTCGGTTTTCCCCCTTCAAAGATTCGCTTCCAATAACTTTTCAGATCTACATCCTAGAAAAAGAGAAGATATGGTATTTCGTTCATGACTTCAGGCAGCAAAATATTCTGCTCATTTTAGTTTCCAGAATCATGTTTAAATGTGTTGGCTCCAGAAATATATTTTCATGATATGATTATTATTTTTTTGGTTCTGATTTGCAGTCAGGTAGGAAAAGGGAGAAGAATGCAGAATTATTTCTGTAAAAGAAAATAATACATCCTTTGAAAAAAAAGATATATATTTTATGCACTTCATTTGTGAGAAAGGTATCAAACCAACATGCCAGGCAGACAATTCTTATAGGGGGGCAAAATAATCCAATGATATGATCTTCTCTTTCACAAGTCAAAAATTGGAAACGGTAAAAAAAATGCACCTGAAATATCTGTTAACCAATTTCTATGAGGAATTGTCAAGAAGAAATAAAATTGAAAGTGGAAACGGCAGGATACCCTGTAACTTCACCTCTTAAGTATTCCTTCAGAATGGCTGGATGTAAAGCCTTACAACAGCAGTGACAGGATTTTAATCCTTTTACAGCATTGGGGGGGGGNCAGAAGATAATTTCGTTCTGGGTAACATGTCCCTGGAAATAAATAACCGAACATGAGGTACAGATTATTTCTTTTCCTTCCATTTGAAATTGTTATCAAGTATTTATTTATAAAGTTGTTGTTTTTTTCTTTCTTAAAAAAAATATACATGTGCTGGAATACATAGAACACATCCTGTCCCATCATACAGTTGATTCTGTATTTATGGATATGTTTGCCACTGCTTGGTGTTCAAAGAAGAAAGGATGGATACATCATAAATAGATTTGAACAGTCCACTCTATGGCCTTTCAAGATGCCGGGGTAACAGAGAGATCTCTTCAAAGGCAATTCTACTTGAATGAATGGTTTGAAATGGGCTTCAGCAACTGCCAAGCTGTTTTGCTAGTGTCGTTTAAACAAAATGAAACATAATTCTGCCTCAAGTAATAATAACAACAATAATAATAATAAAAATAGGTTCTGGGGAAGGACTCAATAGGTTGATAACAAATGCCAAATCCGGTCTAAAAATCTGGCTAATAAAATAATCCTAATAACTGTAATTTTTACACCTCCCTCACTGAATTAGCAAAATTATTCATTCTATTGTGAGACTCATCAAAGTAATTATTAATGAACAGCCACAATTAAATAAATCTCCTATAGCTTTCTTTCATGTTCCCTGAATTATTATTATTATTGTTATTGTTGTTGTTATTGTTATTTTTGGCCTTAGGTTGTCTATGAGGTTTGATCATTCTAATTGTTTTTTCCCCCTAACACTTCTGGGATTACCCAGGGCTGGGATTGCTTTGCAAATCAGAGAATGCCACGCTACCCTTCTGAGCCAATCATAGACTCTGATAAAACTACATCGTTGTGGGAAGGGGGAAAAACCCAACAAACTTAATATTTTGGCCAAGGAGGAATCTGTTTGTCAAAAAATGTGGAAGCAGGTGTCATAGGTAAAGTTGTAGTCAGATGTTTCATATATGTCTCAGGATACAATTCTATGGTCGTTAGAAAACTGAAATCTCTTTTAAGGCTGAAGAACACCTAACCTTTAATTGAGATTTCATCTTTCTGGTCACCAGAGACATGAGGAAGATGAAACTTTGCAGGACAGCAATCAGAATTTATCCATACTATCCTCTCTACTGGCCATTACACACATTATACAGCAACTACTATGAGCCATTGGTTTTATGCAGAACGAGGAATTGACATCATTCCTAGCAGGTTGCCAAATGCAATTGTATGATATGCATGTCTAAACATTTCTTTTATCACTTTTTAGTCTATGGCTAAGAAAATTCTTCCATTCACAAGGGACCCTCAAACATTGAAGGAAATGCTACCATATATATGTGTCTGTGTGTGAGCGCGCATATAAAAATAGGAGCTACAATAAAATATTTCCTTTTTTTGTATATATTTCAATAAGTTATTTTACTACCCAGTTATGGATCATATATCTCTGAACTCTTTATTGATTTGTCCACATCTATGGTGATTCTTTTGAGATCATAATATTGGTTTTTAATCAAAAGTCCAGAAACATACAAATACATCCTCTTTTTTTCTTTTTTCTTTTCTTAAAAAATAAAAATAAAAGGGGAAGGGAAAGAACAAAATGCCTTGTATTAAATTCAGGGTGTGCTAATCTTGCCCCCAAATACCAATCAGACCCATTCGTGGCTAAAAATGGGATTTGGTGCCCTGCATATTTTTTTTTTGGTTTTGTTTTAAACCAAGGGAGAATTAAATTGTCAGCAGTGCATACCCGACATAAAATAACAGGATAAAGTGATTTCTATGACCTTTTTTTCTGACATCCAGCTGAATGATACCCTTTTGTTTTACAGACGCCAATGCTTCCTTTAAGCAAAACAACACACCGCATAAAAAGGGATGAGAGAACAAAAAACTGTGCCTACGTTCACTCGATCAATTGGTTCCTATGGGCTGCAAAAGAGAGAAATAGCGATCTAGAACTCTGACTCCTTTCATTACTTTTCCCCCAAAGGTGGAAATCCCTGTGCCAAGGCAATTTGCCTTCCAACAAATGAAGCAAAGGCAGGTTGGGGAGGAAAAGGACACAGACAGGAGCAGGTCACCATTGTATTTCTTTGTGTGTGGTTATTAAATACAAATGCTGTCTAGGAGAACGGGATGGGAGGAAAAGGAGATCTCAAAACTGACTGAAAGTGGTCTGTTTTTCCAATACTTCGAGGTAGTCCGGCTCTGCATTTAGCTTTGCTTTTAGCTCCAGGTATTCGTTCCTGTTGGGCTCTACGTAAACAGTGCTTGGGGGAGTGTAGAGCACTGTTTCCCGGAGCCTACTGTCCCCCGAGCCGGAATGCAAGTAGGGGTGAGGCGGGCGCCTAATGTCATAGTTAGGGGAATAGGTGTAGGCAGTTGGAGGGAACTTAGGGTACTCAGGGAGGTTACTGCCCCCCAAGGTGGAAGAAGGGTGTTTGTCAGGCTCCAAAATGCCCCTATAAAAATGATCAGCATCCTGAACAGGGGAAAGCAACTCGTCCCGAGGCTCAATGGTGCTGACACTGTATGTGGGGTTCCGGAGGGATTCCTCTTGTCCCCCTGGAGCTGCAGGAGGTGGCCCCAAAACTTGTGAGGGAGGAAGGGGTTGGGGCTGGAGATGATGATTACTGTAGGTCACCTTGAGCTCATGGAGATCTTTGTAATCCTCACCCGCATTGCCCTCCCTGGAGCGGTAGATGGGGTTCTTGCACATGTGGCCTAAAGGATGAGGGATGTACTCATAGACATGTCCAGCTGGGGTTTTCACCTTAGGCAAAGCTGGACCGCCGCCGCCTCCTCCTCCTCCACGGTGAAGATGCTGTGGATGTTGCTGGTGATGAGTGTGGAGGTGAGAATGGGGAGTTCCCCCTCCTGTGTATACGCTATACTGCATGTTGAAGGAGCTCACATCTGAGTTGTTGGTGCTGGCATGGTCACCTTGAACCTTCTTCCTACGTTTCATAACCAGCACAAAAAGACCTGCAGCCACAAACACAGACATGATGAAGACTAGCAGTAAGCTGAGAATCAGCACCGATAAAGGCACCGTGGAAGAAGAGGAAGAGGAGGAAGAAGAGCCACCAGAAGGTGATGCTGAACTGTCCTCTTCCATGGTGCTATTGAACTGCCCCGAATTGGAGAAAGAGGTGGTCCTTGCTGGTCCCTGCATGGATGATGGTGTGGGTGTGGAAACAATGATGTCAGAATAGTCTGGACAGAGCAGCTCTGGTTTGATGTTCCTCATATAATTCTCAGCAAATTTCTTAGGGGATTCACAGATTACCTGGTCCACAAGGACTCCCGTGTTGAGTTGTTCAAGCCATAACTTCATGCCCACCACATCACATGTACAATCCCATGGATTCTCATGAAGATCTATCTGCAGCAAGGACTTTAGTTGATCAAGCACCCCACTTACAGGAAGGTAGGAGAAGTGATTGCTCCGCAGATTCAATCTATAGAGAGTTAAGCCAGAAAAAATGCCCACAGGTAAAGATCTCAGCAGGTTGTTGTTGAGAAACAAGAGCTGTAAATTGGGCACAGGATCAAACGTGCCTGTCTCAATCTCCCGGATGACATTATATTGCAGGAAAAGGTACTGCAAGCTCTGAAGCCCATAAAAAAGCTCTGAATTCAATTTTTCAATCCGATTCCCATTCAGATAAAGCCTCCGCAAATTAGTTAAATCCCCAAAGGCCCGGTCCTGAATGACCGAGATACGGTTATTGCCCAGATGGAGCAAATCTAACCCTGTAGCATCCAGGAAATCTGACCTGCGCACCAGGGCAATGTAGTTCTCAGTCAGGTACATCTTCTTGGGGTTATACGGTTTGGGTTGGAGTTCTGAGATGCTCTCGATCTTCCTTTCTTGGCAGTTGACATTGAGGCCCAAGTCAGATATCTGTAGGTTGCAAGTGCAAGCTGTAGGACACTCCAAAGGCACCGGGGATTTGGTCTGGTAAGCAATGCTAGGGCCGTAATTGCTGTATCCCAGATCCTTGGAGGGCAATCGAGAGGTGGGACGCACCCTAGACTTGTTAGGCTGGCGTGTCCCTTTGGGTTTCAAAGGTGTTTTGTAAACAGCTGAAGAAGAAGTAGCCACAGAGTTTACAGAGGCTGGAGTGGTATGAAAATACCCTGTAGTACTTAGTGGAGTTTGCGGTCTCATCTCATAATCTGAGATGAGTCTCCGAGGGCAAAGCTCCTGCTTGGAAACCTCATCCAAATCTCTCCCGTGTAACCGGAAAGGAGTTTCACACACTACATCCCCCACCAAGGCTGAGTAGGATATGCTGTCCAGCCAATCCTTCAGGGAGATTAGTTCACAGGAGCAATTCCATGGGTTCTCCTCCAGCTGCAACTCCACCACCTTATCCATGTGCTGCAGAAGGCCCAGGTATGGCAGAAGTTTCAGTCGGTTGCCCCTTAGGTCGAGATGAGTCAAGGGCACAAAGCGGAACAGGTTGTTGGGCAATGACGAGAGGAGATTGTCATTCAGGATCAGCACCTGCAGCAGGTGGAGCTTGCTGAAGGAGCTGGGCTCGATGACACTGATGTAATTGTAATCAACTTGAAGATACTCCAAGCTCTCCAGGCCTACAAAAGTGTCATCTCTCAATATCTCCAGTTTGTTGTTGTTCAGGTGCAGCCTCCTTAAGCCCCTCAGACCATGAAAGGCTCCCGTTTCAATGTCTTGGATATCGTTGCCCCCCAAGTGCAAAATAGAAGCCCCACTGTAGTTAACAAATTGATTGGGGTAGAGCCGATTGAGAAGATTCCCAGACAGCAGGAGATGATAGATGGAGAATCTGGGAGGACTAATCTCAGAGAGGCTAATGATGCCCCGGTTCTCACAGCTCACCGTTAAGAGGCCGTCTTTCTCCTCGCAAGGACATTTATTGTCACAGATCTCGCCATAATATTCGATGCTCTCCGCCCAGGCCAGGACAAGAGATGTTAAAGCAAAAGTGATGGTTTGCACCATCCAGATACGCATTTTTCTGTTGAGATCCTGCTCCTGAATCACCGTAGAGCAGCAAGCATACATGTTATCTCCTGCAAAAGGCACAAAAAAGAGAACACAAATACCAGGCTGTCACAAGAGTGAGCAGGAAAATCTAGGCATGACACTGTTAAGAAGTCAAAACACAGGTGGGAGAAGGGAAGGAAACTGGCTTCTCTTTGCCAAGATTCTTGGTTTTTTAGAAACGTTAGACCAATGGCTCTTAAGTGGCATTTTCTCAGTACAGAGATTTTTCGAGCTGTCCAAAGGAAAGGCATTTTCTCTGAAACCCTTTGGCTTCCTAACCCCTAGGAGTGTTTTCCTACATCCCTACAATTTGTTTCCCCCCCTCACTCACTCACTCACTCACACACACACACACACACACACACACCGTGTACAATGTGTCCATAAATATACATAAAATGGCTGTCAGTTTAGTTACTCAGTTCTAATAAGAATAGAACCATTTTATAAGCCTTTCATCCTCACCTATTATCCATGTCATTTTTTGCTTGGTCTCCTGCCCCTGTTTAGAACCTTTTCTTCTGAATGGTTCTCTGCGAAGGAAAAGTCCCCATTATTTTGCTAAAACAAATCTCTCTCTCTCTCTCTCTCTCTCTCTCTCTCTCTCTCTCTCTCTCTCTCCTTCCCTCCCTCCCTCTTCTCCTCCCCATTTTGTTTTTTTGTAAAGCATTTAAATGCCATTGCAGGGATCCTGCTGTAATATTTTCAAAGAATCTCACTCTCTTTCTCTCTCTCTATGTCTACGGCTTTCTATAACAGCAACACCGAAAGCCTGAAACAGAAGTAGCTTCCCAAACACCTGATATTCCTAATCAGTTTTACTCTGGGTGCTTAGATATAAAATGCTTGGAGACTTAAAACTTAATTTAAAATTCATAATAAAGGAAAATACCAGAGCTGGGGATTCTTTAACTGAGTAATTCAATTTTCTGATCTCCCATATCATCTCATTTTTTTAAAATAAATAAATAAATAAAAGACGGGGCTAGCCACTGATGAAATACTTAGGAATTCTTATCCGAATCAAATGGTTCTGAAAAAGCCTCATCATCACTCACTGGCTTCTGCTTTAATTGGCTGGTAAGTAAGTTATTTTCACAAAAGCATTGGGTTGAAAAGCAGTAATACTGCACAAAAACACTCTCCCAGAGAGGCACACGAAAACTGTATGCTTGGACACACAAGTCTTGTCCTTTAAATGGTCATCCAGAACTTCTCAAGCAGGCTAGAACTGGGTCTTTCTCTCTGGCCTCAGCCATAATTAGTCTCTGATTTCCTATAGCTCTGGTAACACGCTATTCGAAGGAGCATGCAATGATCTAAGCCACTTTGAAGGGACCCGATGGCCACCAAGAATTGGACATGTGGAGCTTTCTCAGCTGCTGTCCATCTGAGAAGGCATTGCAGACAGATAGATGGAGTAATTCCACCCAAAGCCATCTCTTTGTGCCCCCCCCCCATTTTGACCCACAAGCATAGCCAGTGTCACTGAAATGCATTCTGGCAAATAGGATTGCCCTTTCCCCACCTCCACCCCCCCTCCTCTGCCTCCCATTGCAAAATACTTCTACTCTCTGAATGCAACGTTATAGGAATGGGTGAATAAATCACCATAAATCACCCCCCATCGTAAATCACCCTGTTTTCCATGCATTTGCGGATGGAAGGTTGGGTTGCCTGTTGTGATTTGTTAGATGGAGGGCTAGGTGGCATTTGCTCAAATCAAATCTCATCCTAAGTCCTAGTCTTCCCCTGTTCCCCAGCTAAGGACTTGGGAGATTTCTTCCCATGCTTTCCTTGGAGTAGATAGAGCCGAAGAAGAGACATGTGGTTCTGATTATTGAGTTTGCAGGCTGAGTTCCAGGATTTTGTAGCAATGGCCAAGCAGGTTAAAGAAGAAGTGTTTTTGTTCTCCAAGGGTTTGGCCAAAAAAAAAAAAAGGCACAGCGGACTTTCTGCATCAAGCAAGGAAATAAGGGGGAAGGGGTTGCAAGAAAAAAGAAAAAAGAAGCAGCAATCCTGCACTTCCAAGACCATTCCCAGCTCCACTATCACCATCCATCCATCCATGAAGTGACTAATTCCCTTGGTCCAAAGGAGAAATAAATCTCCAATAAATCAGCAGCCAAGCAACCCTTCCCGATTCCCCCCCCTCCTCCTTGCAAATCTTTATTAAAAGGAGCCACTACCCGAGGATGTAGATGTCCTCTCCCACTTGCCAAACAGTTGCGAGGGGTGGGAAATAAAAGTTAAAATGTAGCATCCAGAAAGGGTAGCTCGCAGATCAGGCTGCAAAGGCTGGTGAAAAGGGGAGGAGGAAGAAGAGGAGGAGGAAGTCTGCTAACTGGAACGGGGTATCGGATTCAATCTCTGTTTCTTGATCTCTCTCTTTCCGAAACGGGGAAGGGTCGATTTTTTTTCTCGTCGCCCACCCTTTCCAATGCTCTCCTCCCCTCCCCACCCCGGAGGGTGGGGGGGTAAGAATCTAAGAATGCTTCCTTTTTAGATAGCGCACTGGAGAAGCTTGCATACGAAAGCAACCTTTCCAGTTGCTCCAGCAGTGGCAGTTGGAATCCCTGGTGGTGTTTGGTTAGAGGGGTGGGTGGGTGGAATTGGGGTGGTGGGGGTGGAGGGGGAAGGGGAGCCAAGAGCAACCGGGAGACACGGATCAACGCTCTCCCCCCCCCCTACAGCCACCCACCCCCGTTTCCTCCACCCCTTCGCTACTTACGGAGGCTGAAATCTCCAGGGCCCCAGCATCTTTGCAACCCCGAACGCTACGCCGGCTCGCTCGCTGTTGCAAACCGCCCAGGCAGAGGCGAAAAGGAAGGCGGTGGGGAATGCGGTCGCAAAGGCTGCTTCGCCAGCGAGGGACACATACGCGCGCGCGCGCACATACACGCACACACACCACACAAACACACACACGTACAGCCTTGCACACAGGCTGAGGCGCCCTCTTTCCAGGTCTCTTCCTTCCCCCCCCCCCAGACCTCGTCGCGCGCGCGCACACACACAAGCAGCGGCGGTGCCGGGGGGGGGCTGCCTCCCGAAACGCTCCCCCCCCAATAGCGGAAAGTGGAAGGAATTGAGGAGGGGGGGCGCGACAAGCAGGGGAGACAGGGAAGGGCGAGGCGGAGAGAAGGGAGGTGGAGAGGGAAGGGGAGGAGAAACGGAGAGGGGGGGGGGTTGCCAAGAAAATTGCCGAGTGGTATAGGGAGGGGGGGTGATCCGGGTAAGGAAGGTGTGCGTGGTGTTGAATGACAAGCAGGGGGAAACGGCGAGCGATCCGGTCTGGAGAGAGTAAATGCTAAAGCGAAGCTGACCCGTTGGCGCAAGGGGGACCCGGAGACCCCAGGATGGGGGGAGGGAGGATGTGAGTTTATGATGGTGGGTTATGGTTTTTTTTTTTCCAAAGACGTCAACAGCTGGAAACCTAAGGTGCCCCGTTTTGGGAAAGAGGTCCTAGATCTCTACCTAGAAACCAGGATCGATGTGGGTCAGAGTTGGCGGTGAGGTGGGAAGAGATGGAGCTGGTGAAAAGGGGAAGGAGGGAAATACATGAGTGGGGCCTGAGAAATGGAGAGCCAATATGGGACATGAATCTATCTGTCTGTCTGTCTGTCTGTCCGTCCGTCCGTCCATCCATCCATCCATCCATATCCCATATTGCCACCCCCCCTCCCATTTCTCAGGCCCCACTCACGTCTTGCTCTCCTTCCCCTTTTTGGGATGCATGGGATATATATACCCATATCCCATACTGGCACCCTTTTTACTTCGCTATATATCAAGGTGTTACACACCCTATATATTAGGGTGCTACGTGCCGACCGGTTCAGACGGACTAGAGAGCCCCCCAAGGGACTGGGAGTGTATAAGCGGGTGTGCGTGTGAACTACAGAGGGCGTCGGGGACCGAGAGGATGAAGGCGTGGGAAGGTCCAAGAAACCCACTGCGGGGGGTGGGGTGGGTGCGTGAGTGGGCTCCCAAGGAGCGGAGAGGAGGAATCCTGCGGCGAGGGGCGGTGAGAGGGGGGGGGGTCACTGTAACGGGCATGAAGAGGTGCGCGGGGGTGGTGGAAGAAAATAAGGGGGGAACAGATGTGGGATTAAAGGGGGAGAGGGGGAGGGCACCGCCAGCGCATCCTAAAACCACCAGGATGAGCCGCATCGTCCAGTCTCCTTTCTCTCGCACCCTCCGCGGCATCCCCAGTTCCCAGCCCGCTGGCGGTACTCACACTTTCCGCGCAAGAGGTCAACTTTCTCCGGGCTCAGCGACGGCTGAGCCGTTGCCCTGCTCCACCTCCTCCTCCTCTTCTTCCTCTTCCTCCTCCTCTTCCTCTTGCTGCTGCTCTCAACTCTCGCCGTCTCTCCTCCGTCCTGGCACCATTTCCCAGCGCCCCGGATTGAGGGGGTTCGCAAAAGCCGTGCCCGGGAAACCGAATCCGGCAAGCCGTCCCTTTAAGCCTCCTCTTCTTCTTCTTGCAGCGCGCTCTGGACATGGTAGGGCTGGCGACCAGGGCGCAGGGGATCCGTTTCCCCCGGCGGCGGTTGTCCACGCCGATTCTCACGCAGGAGCTCCCTCCGTGGGCTCCCTTGCGGAGGAGGCTGAGCCCTCGGGCTCGTCTTCTCCGCCCTGCCCTGCTGCATTCCCCCTCCGAGGAGCCCGACCGCTTGTCCCCACTAACCGTAGAAGGGGATGCCCGCCGCCGTGAGCCGCGCAAGCTCGCCCGCCTCCCCGATCCAGGCTTCTTCCCAGGCGCAGCGCAAGCCCTTTAGCATCTCTCTCCCTCTTGCCCAAGGACGGGGGAATCCAGAAGGCGCTCTTGAATTTCCCAGCTGCTTGTCCAGCCAAGTACTGCGGCGGTCAACTTGCCTTCGCTTCTGCTCTTCCCTTCAACTAACCGAGGAAGCTAAGTAGGAGGGGAAGGATGCGTTCCGGAAAGTGAGAGCTTCAAAATAAATAAATAAATAAAAAATAGAGGGGGGGGGAAGAAAGGGGGGGTTGGGAGAGGGGGACGCCTTCTCCTCCTGGAGCTGGTGGCGGAGTTGCCACAGCCAAAGTCGAACTGGCAAGAATCGGAAGCCAAAGTAAGCGAGCAGCAGAGGCGAAGAAGGACGCCTTTGCCGGCCAGTAGATGGCAGTGTTAGGCACCGAATGGACCTTTTTCGGGATGCTATTGGGAAGCCAGAAGCTCCCACCCCCCACCCCTAAACACACACAAACACGCACACGCATTTTCCCCCCTTTTAATGACGATGCTGATAGGCATCAGTCTTGCTGCATGCTTTTACAGCCAGGAGTATTTAGTGCATGGGGCCAGGGAATCAGAAGCTGTCCAGAGGACCTACCCTTTTTTTTTGGGGGGGGGGGGAGAGAAAAAAGAAAACAACAAATTCACCCCCCCCTTTTTTTTTGCTCGCCCGCTTGAGTGACCCTTATTCTTTCCTTGCCAGCTGGCAATGAATGCAGGAGCGAATATGGAAGTTAATTTAGAGCCTGATTGGCTCAAAGCTATGAGCAAGTTGTTGGATGCAGAGTGCTGATTTTTTGAAATAGCTTTCGAAGCCATTTTTTTTTAAAATGTCAGAAACGTTAAAGTTTCAGGTCAGCTTAAAAATATTCCTTCCCGATAATGCTGATGTTTAATAGTTTTCAATGTTGAATCTGGATATATTATTAAATATAAAGTAGAGGGATGTGAAATGAAATGAATGCCCTAGTTTTTTAAGGGCAGAAAATGCATATGCAAAGTCCCCGTCTTCTGTTTAAATAGGAAGATGAGATTTCTACTGATGCACACTCATTCACTCAAGTGTGTGTGTGTGTGTATGTTTGTGTGTGAGGGAGAGGGAGAAAGGGAGGGAGAGGGAGAGAGGAAGTGGAAGGGAAGGAAGGAGAGAGAGAGAAAGAGAGAGAGAGAGAGAAAGGGAGGGGGAGAGAGAGAAAGGGAGGGAGAACTAATGCACCTGGCAGAAATGTAGGACATTTATGAAAAGAAAGACAAATGATTCCAGATAAGGAGGTTGCTGTCTTCATGGATTGTCATTGATTTTGGACGTCTGGAATCCCTCTTGCTTGTTCTGCTTGTGGGTCCTGTAAAATTTCAGTAGAAAGATCTGAGTCATTCATAAAGGAACTGAGGGATGTGCAGAAAGATCAGATTAAATTTTTGGCTCAGTTTCTTACAAATGAGTTTTGCTTTGCTGAAAATCGAGGTGATTAGAGACATCCAGAATGGCTTTTGTTAAATGAACATGAATCTACAAACTGACCCAGCCTTCTTAGACCATGGAGCTGAGGAACAGGGCAATCATTCATCATTCTAGGCCTGGCATCTCAAAACCATTGGAAGGTCAACATTCACGGTAGAGTTTCATGCCGCCAATATTTCCTGGTAGGGGAGCAGCCCGTAATGGAACTGTGGGATATTCTGTGAAGGTCTTTAATGCTGGGAATGGAGTCTACATCCTTAGGATTCTCCTCAGACTTTTCTTGTTGATGATGATGAGGCAATGAAAGACAATCACTGTTTATGGAGACTTGTGACTTAGAAAGCCATTAAACAGAGAATTTAAGTAGCTAGATGACATCAAAGGATGGTAAATATTCTCAGCTATAATCTGGAATACATTCTGTGCCTTTATGATAACAGCTTTTGTGAACTGCCGTGGGTGGGACAAGGGGACAAATAGACCTACGAAATGTGGACATTACAAACCATGAGAATTCATTGCAAGGCAAGTGATGAGTTTATCTGTATCTCTTCCATCCAGTTAATTTTCCTCGATCTGCATAGCATTAATTTTCATATATTTCCCTGTGCACACTTTCACAAGTTTTTTTCAGATTTCACTAATTAGGAAGGGTTTTCTTCTCAGGCTCAGCAATTAACCGCAGTCAGCTAAAATACTGACAACGGCAGGCAACATTGTGTATTTACAATATTTGTACTGCACCCAGCTCTTTCCCATTTATCTATATACAGCATAATCATTTTCAAGCACCATTTGTTACAGCATGTTGAATTTGTCAATTGAATTCTCCATGAAGTGCTACTTTCATGTGCAATATAGCCATTTGAGCTTACTTTTGGAACTGACCAAAGTTGTGCTATTTTTTTCAAGATAACAAGTGTGTCTCTATATTCCATACTCTGTTGGAAAATCACACTTCAGGTATGCTGATAGTACGCCTCTCCTTTCTGCCACCTGTATATTTTATGCAGAAAAAGAAGTTTTCTTTTCCGGTTCTCTGATCTTATTTTATCCTTCCATATAACAATGTTGCATTTTGCTCCTAAATGTGTGTGTTTAACCATTTGAAAATGTAAATTGTTTACTACCTTTTCAATAATGACTCAGTGGACAGATTTATTGAAGTCTGTATTGAATTTGATGACTCCTGGATGCCAACATGGTATTAAACACATGTAGTCCATTTGCTTGATGCTTTTCTTTTCTTTCTTTTTTTATACCCAATTTGTCTATTTTATCTGGCCAACACCCTCTTTTCACAGCTTCATGTTGTCCTACCAAACACATAGATTGTTTTGTTATCTTCAAAATTCAGAGAGTTTTCCCACCAGTATCTCAGACTTTGACATTGTTGGAAGAAAAATCCAGTCTGGTTCCAAGCCAGGAAAAATAATAATAAAATAAAACCAATGTAGGCTGGCTACAAGGAAAGAAAGTCTTTGTTTATTTGGTTTCCATAATCTTCAGTGACAGCAGCAATTTTCCGAGGTGGCTGACAAAACGGCTGAGTGAGTGGATGGATCTTTATAGAGTTCTGGGGTTTTGTGATTGAGATGCTCCAGGGGGTTGTGCAATGAGTGAGCCTTGTGTCCTTTACTATTTCAATGGTGGTGGGTTAATCCTATTATGTCCTAAAGGTCATGTCCTGTTCTTAGAATTTGGGTGGGGGAATGTCAATTCTTAATGCCATCAGCTCCAGCCTGGGGAAGCTGTGACTGAAGGTGTATTGTTTGTTAATAGATTGGCCCAGTCTTCCTGAATGGATACAAAATTTGCATTCCTAAAAGCCAGCTTTTTCAAGTCTCTCAGTTTGAAGCTGTTTTCTTATGGCAGGAAGATTGGGGCTGCTTTCTGCCTTTTTAAAGATTTTTCTCCATTTTGCCTTTGGGGAAATATAATATTCTGCCTCTTTTAATATTCCTCAAAATATTTCATTCTTGGAGGAGGGACACCCGTGACATGATAGATGAATTTCTAATTCATGTTAGAACCAAAAGTAGGAATCTGTAGCCTAGGTTTTCTCTATTATCCTGTCTACAATTTAACATGCAATTGCTCTGCAAATGTTCATGTAAGTGGTTATTTTAGAATAGTATTTATTCTAAATACTGTCAGCCATGCTATTCTGGAAAATAATTAATAATAACATTGGATTTAGAAGCATATGTTGTGTGTGTGGAGAGAGAGAGAGAGAGAGAGAGAGAGAGAGAGAGAGAGAGAGAGAGAGAGAGAGAGAG